TCCTTGATCATGCAGAAGAGCGGGGGCTCGTTGAGCGAGACTCCCGTACACCCCTCGAGATCTATGCCATCGGCCCTGATGAGCCATATTGCCGCTTCCACCGCCACCATGGACACAAAACCGACGACTGCCATCAGCTGAAGAACGCAATTGAGAGGTTGATACAGGCGGGCCACTTGTCTCAGTTCATCAGGGGCCCTCCTCCCCAGGGCCCCCCTCATCATCAAGGGCCTCCGCCGAAGGCAAACAAGTGGGTAAACCCCAACACCATCCCCTTGGGGAACCCACAGGGGAAGAAACGTGAAATTGGGGGCCTCGACGACGAGGGAGAGGGCTCCCATCAACAATACAAGCGCCATATTCATATGATCAACGGCGGCAACACCGGAGGCGATTCAACGAGCCAAAGGAAGAAGTGGGCACAGTCCCTCTACATTGGGGAGGTCAATCACATGCCCCCTACTAAAAGGCCGAGGGCGGATCCCATCTTCTTCACAGATGCGGACCTCCCCTCGGGCTCCCTGCCGCATAGGGACGCCCTCGTCATCCGCACTGAAATCAATGACGCCATCATTCACCGGACTTACGTTGACACGGGGAGTTCTGTCAACGTCATGTATCTCAGTACTTTCCAAGAGTTGGGACTCGATAGGGGGTCCCTTCGGCACATCAACACCCCCCTCTCCGGATTTACGGGGGACAGCATAGACGCCGAGGGAGCCATCACCCTCACGGTTGAATTCGGCGACGGATCCCATAGAGCCAAGCTCGAAGTGGAATTCGTCGTCGTCAACCTCGACTGCGCACACAACATCATCCTCGGCCGGCCTGCCCTCGAAGACTTGGAAGCCGTCATCTCCATGAGGCACCTCTGCCTCAAGTTTCCTACACCCACCGGCATCGGCTATTCGAGGGGGAATCAGAAGCTCTCCAGGGCCTGCTACCTTCAACTCACCAAGAAGGTTAGTAAAACCGAATTTCGGATTGACACCATCACCGCCAAGGCCCTGGAGGAAGAGGAAGGTAGGCCGAGGGCTGAGCCTGCCGAGGAGACCGAAGACTTGATACTCGATCCGGCCAAGCCGGAGAGAGTCCTGAAGATCGGAGCCAAGCTCCCCGAAGACTTGAAGGCTGGCATCACCAAAGCCCTCCAAGCCTACTCCATTGTTTTTGCATGGGGGCCGGAGGATATGCCGGGAATTGACCGAAGGGTTATCACCCACCGCCTAGCGGTGGACCCTTCGGCCAAACCAGTACAACAACGAAGAAGGCCCCTCTCGGCCGAGAGAAGGGAGTTCGTGAAGAAGGAGGTATCCATGCTCCTCTCCATCAAACACATTAAGGAGGTGAAATACCCTTCTTGGTTGGCGAACGTAGTCCTCGCACAAAAGCCTCTTACCTTCCGTATGTGCGTGGACTACACGGATCTGAATAAGGCATGCCCCATGGACCCCTTCCCCTTGCCAAACATTGATCAACTGGTAGATGAGACCGCGGGATGTGAAATCATGTCATTCCTCGATGCATTCCGCGGATATCATCAGATCTACATGCATGAGGGAGACGCTGAAAAAACAGCCTTCATGACACCCGAAGGCATCTTCTGCTATCTTGTGATGGCCTTCGGCCTCAAGAATTCAGGCGCCACCTACACACGCATGGTGGCTAGGGTTTTTCAAGCTGTCCTAGGACGCACCATGGAGGCTTACGTTGACGACATGATCGTCAAAAGCAAGAAGGCAGACACCCACGCCGACGACCTCCGGGAAATCTTTGCCATCATGCAAAAATTCAATCTCCGGCTAAATCCGAAGAAGTGCACCTTCGGCGTCCAAGGAGGGAAGTTCTTAGGCTACATGGTCAGCCGAAGGGGTATTGAGGCCAACCCCGAGAAGATCCAGGCCATCGTCGACATGGAGCCTCCACGCAACGTCAAAGAAGTTCAGCGGCTGACGGGTCGCCTGGCGGCCCTCAACCGATTCCTCTCTAAGTCAGCCGAGAGGGCCCTCCCCTTCTTCCAAATCATGAGGAAGACGGCGGGTTTCCAATGGACATCTGAGTGTCAGGAGGCCTTCGACGAACTCAAGAAATACCTCTCTTCTCCCCCAGTGCTCTCCAAACCGAAGGTGGGGGAGACTTTATACTTATACCTCGGTGTTAGCCCTGCGGCTATCAGCTCAGTACTGATCCGAGAGGAAGACGGCATCCAACATGCCATCTTCTACGTCAGCAAAACCCTCCGGGAGGCCGAACTCAGGTATTCTCCCGTCGAGAAGACAGTGCTAGCGATCGTTTGGACCGTCAAGAAGCTTGGCCACTACTTTCAAGCTCATCCAGTCCAGGTGCTCACTCATCAACCCCTCGGCGCCCTCATGAGGAGTCCCACTAGCTCCTCTCGGATGGTGAAATGGGCCATATTCCTCAGTCAATACAATATAGACATTCGTCCGAGGCCTGCCATTAAGGGCCAAGCCTTGGCAGACTTCGTGACGGAATGCACCGCAAGGTCAGCGACTGACGAGGAGCCCTCGGCATCCCTCGATGAATGGTGGACCCTCTATACCGACGGCTCCTCGGCCACCAAAGCATGCGGAGGGGGAGTAGTCCTACTCACACCCGAAGGCTTCCGCGCCTATTATGCCATCCGCTTCTCCTTCAAAGTCTCCAACAACGAAGCCGAGTACGAAGCCCTCCTCTGTGGCCTTCGGCTGGCAGCAAATCTGAAGGCTAAGATGATCCACGTCAAGTGTGACTCCAAACTTGTTGTGGGTCAAATTTCCGGGGAGTACGAAGCCAAAGAAGGGAGGATGAAACAATACAAAGAAGCGGCTAAAGAGTTGCTCAAGGTGTTTGAGGCGCATTCTCTCACCCAAATACCGAGGGCTCAAAACTCCGAGGCCGACATTCTATCCAAGCTCTCGGATGAATCCCCCGAGCACCTCTCGAAGATTGCAAGAATTGAGGAGCTCAGCCTCTCAAGTATCCACGCAAGCCCCGTCATGAACATTAACCTAAGGCCAGAAGATTGGATCTCCGACATCGTCGCCTTCGTCACCACAGGGCAACTACCCCAAGACGAAGCCCGCGCAAAACTAACAAAGCTGAGGGCTCCCAGCTACACCCTCGAGAGTGGGAGGCTCTACAAAAGATCTTACAACGGCACCCTCCTTCGGTGCCTTCATCAGGACGAGGCCGAAGTCGCCATGGAGGAAGTGCACAGTGGCACTTGCTCAGCTCACCAGGGACCCTTCTCCATGTCCCGAAGGCTCATAGTTCAGGGCTACTTCTGGCCCACGATGGCTAGAGATTGTGCTGATCTAGCCCGAAGGTGCACCGCTTGCCAACACTTTCAGAAGGCCCCCGGCAGACCAGCGGTCAACTATGCCCCCATCAGCACCGCTATCCCCTTCTCCAGATGGGGTATTGATTTAGTGGGCCCTCTGCCGAGGGGTACCTCCAACAACCGATATATCATTGTGGCCATTGACTACTTCACCAAGTGGGTAGAGGCCGAACCCCTCGCCAGCATCACGGAGGCCCGGTGCCGTCACTTCGTCCTCAAGAACATTCTCACAAGGTTTGGCGTCCCCCAACAAATCATCTCCGACAACGGGACCCAGTTCGAGGCAGCCCCCTTCTGTGCCCTCCTTGAAGCTTGGGGCATCAAGCACACATTCTCTTCCGTTGCCTACCCTCAGGGCAACGGACAAGTAGAAAATGCCAACCGCACCCTCCTCGAAGGGTTGAAGAAGAAGCTGGAAGCCGAAGGGGGAGGCTGGGTAGAAGAGCTCCACAACATCTTATGGGCCTACCGCACCACCCCTCGGCGCGCAACAGGCGAAACACCCTTCTCCCTATGCTATGGCTTCGAGGCTAAGGCTCCAACAGAAGTGACTCTTCCCACCCGAAGGGTTGAACAATATGAGCCCGAGGCAAACGACGCCAACATGGCCCTCGACCTTCACCTCATCTCAGAGCGCCGAGAGCAAGCCTTTCTCAAGGCCGAAAACTATAGGAGACAAGTCAAAGGATACATCGACGCCAAGGTCCGCTCCCGGGAATTCCAGGTGGGAGACTACGTCCTCCGACGAAGGGAGGCCAGTCTACCCACCGAAGGAGGGAAGATGGCGCCCAAGTTTGAGGGCCCCTACATCATCTCGGCCATCATCCAACCGGGGACATACAAATTAAAACGTCCTAATGGGACAGAGATTCCTAGACATTGGAATGTGCACCACCTAGTCAAGTTTTACCAATGAGCGGCCAAGCCCTCATCCTCAACAAGTGTAAATATCAATGGCCCAAGGCCCCATCTGTTCTTGAAGAATAATCACCTACAAGCCTTCATCACCTACATATTACACAAGTGGCCCAAGGCCCCCTTCTCCCATACAATTTAGGTACCAAGTACCAAGTGTATGGGTCACCCCCATCACTCTTTGAAAACACCAAGTGTTTTCTCACTAAGCCGTACCCCACGAGGACGCAACCATGCATACATTATGCATACTTTTACATACTCTCCTAAAAAAAAAAAAAAAAAAAAAAAAACCGGGGGGTGCAACACCCCTCGGCTCCGGCTGGTACCAAGTGCCCCCGGCTATTTGTGTTTCTACACACAAATAAAACCCTTCCCAGGAACGCTTTCCGCGCCATCCCCCAAGGGGAGGCAGGCAACGGACCATGTCCCGGGCCCAGGATTCGACTTCCACAAACGAAACGCTCCCCGCGCTATCCCCCAAGGGGAAGCAGGCAACAGACCATGTCTCGGGCTGAGGGGACGACTTTCAAAACCGAGGCGCTTTCCGTGCTATCTCCCAAGGGGAAGCAGGCAACAGACGATGTCTCGGGCCGAGGAAACGACCCTCAAACCCTTCGGGATATCGGAAGGTCATTCCCGAAGGGGGAGCCAACGGTTTGTTCCGTTGCCTCCCATATAGGCCAAGCCTTTCCTAGGAACCAAGTTGCTAGATGCCTCTCCTACACCATCTAAAAAAAAAAAAAAAAAAAAAAAAAAAATGTGTAGGGGGGAAGGAACTCCCCGGATAATATTCTCCCCGGAGGCTCAACACTTCGGATATACATTGCCGAAGGCTGCTACAAATGCACAAGAGAATCTCTCAACATCGAATCATCTGGCTACATAGCCGAAAGCTTCACTACATGAAGCCTTGGAGTACAAGAGTTCCACCGGAGGCCTAAGAAGAACAAAGCTTCATCTAGATCAGAACTCGGTTGAATCAAAGTCGACTATGCGACACGCCGAAGGCTACACAAAGCTCTGAGGCAAGCTAAATCTATTATCTACACGAACCAGAGAATTCGTACCGAAGGCAGAATGTCACCGGTCTCGTACCCATCGGCAACCATATACACCGGGGGCTCAGGCGATCCTCACACTCGACGGGTTCACCACAGTATCTATGGAAACTTCGTGGAAAAATGACTAAGTCCACAAATGGGGACCCTTCGGGAGGGCAACTCTTCACCTACAGACTCATCACTACACTACTAAATGAAAGCTTCCATTTCATTCTATCCCTCGGCATCACTACTATGATCATCCGAAGGGGGTCGGTCCTATTGCTACAACCCGGAAGCAATCCCTATGGCTCGTCACCGAAGACATACGATGGAGTTTTACTTAGGAAATTTTTCTAAGTCCACAATCACCAGCCTCCGGTGATTCTACAAAACGTCCGAAGGGTTCTAATTAAGTTTTGCTTGGAAAACCTTCTAAGTACACAAGCAACGACCCCCCGGCAATCCTACTTTACAGCCGAAGGGCCCTGGTCTGGTCTCACTTAGAAAATTTTCTAAGTCCACGAACCCTTGGCCTTCGGGAAACCAGGCAAGGGAAAGGAGAACATACATTCATTCATACACAAACACGAAGAGAAACAGGGGCATGCATTCAAGTTCAAAACGAAGGAAACATTCATTCACAGAAGCACGAAGGCGACAAAGTAAGGCATTCGTATAAAGGCGTGAAGGCAAATCTTTCATCATCAAAAACCAATATTCAAAATTCGAAGAGATGTTTTAATTACAAATACAGTGGACCGAGGCCAAAGACTACAAGCTATTACAAAATTATGCTTGAGGGAATTTCAAGCTGGGGCATTCTCGGCTCCATCCTCCTTCGTCTTGGAAGCAGCATCGTCCTCGACTTCCTCGCCACCAGCCTCTTGCATGAGCTCGGAATCTTCAAGATCCGGCCTCTCTTCACCTGGGGGGAGGGGCACCCTGACATCTGGCTGCAGAGGGGGAAGGCCGTAAGCTGCCGGGTCAAATTCCTTCGGCTCGATTTTGAAATGCCTGGCTAGCCTCCTGTATATGAGGTTTTGAGTAAAGAACTCTCCACCATCATAATAATCTTTGCCCTTCTGGGCTAGCCACAAAGCCCCAGGACCCTTCGCCCACGCGTCCACCGAGGCCTCCACCACCGACTCCACCCATGCCCTCCGGCCTTCCGCCTTCCATCCATCAGCGACGAAGGCATCGACGGCATCTTTCTCTGCCTGGGAGACGGCCTCCTTCTTCTTGGCCTCAGCTTCCTCCGCGGCAGCCTTGGAGGCTTCGGCGGCGGCTCTCTCAGCATCGGCCTTCCCCTCGGCCCTGGCGATTACTTTGTTGTTTTCGAGAATGGAATTGAACGCCATCTTCTCCAGCCGGAGGGTCTCTTGGGCCTCCTGGAGTTGCCGCCGGGACTCCGCCAGGGCCTCATCAGCCTGGCGCTTCTGCGCCTGATATTGCTCCATCCTCTGGAGCAGCTCCCCGAGACCGAGGGCAGCCTAAGAATCAAAACCATCAGATAGCAAGGGTTAAGTATCAAGATAAAGATATGTCAAAGACAACTCAGAGAAAAAGGAGAAGGAAAAGACTTACGGTGACGGAGGCCTGGAGCACTTTTGCGCTGAGGGCATCATCTTTGGCCCTCGAAAGCACCGATTTGTCGGTCGGGGGAGTGGCACCCTTCAGGAACTCCCTCGGGTTGAGGGTGCCATGCATGATGGCAGTTCCCTTGGTGATAGAGAACTGCACATCATCCCGGGGCCAGGCCAGGCTGCTATCTTGGCCCCCGGGAGGAGGAAGGACGTTTTGCGAGGGGGAGGAGGAAGAGTGCTCTTCGACAACAACAATGGGGGCGTCCGTCTTCTCGGGCCCCCCCTTCTTCTTCTTCTCCGGAGGAGCCACGCCTTTCCCCGCGTTTTTCCTCTTGTGCTCCGCCTTGGAGCCCCCGGCACCAGCACCGGTATCAGCAGCTTGGGAGGGCCCCCCACCCTCCGGGACCTGAGCATCCCCTCCCTTTCGGAAGAACTCATCGACAGGTTTCTGAACCCCCGTCTCCTTCTTCCTCTTCGGCTCCTTGGCCAGCTTCTTCTTCAGCGCGGCAAAGTTGGAGACGTCCATACTAACACCTGCAAAACAACGGCAAAATCAGACCGAAGGGGTCAATTACCAAAGAAAGGAAATAAGGAAACAACAAAAATCCTAAGTGCAATAAACCAGACCCTCCGGTAACTACCTCCAATGCCACCGAAGGCTCTCTCGAGGACAGGGTACTGTTCGTCCTTTTCGCCCAGGAAGCGGTACCGCCGGAAGCCTAGGGCCAGCAAGTCTTCGGGGAGAGTAGAGTCCTTGACTGTCACGTGCTTCGTGGCCCCCGGCAGCAAAGCCGCAATCTTCTTCCCCTCCTTCTGGAGTGCGGCGTTTCCCACCTTCGGGTGCCGCCTGAAGTGGTTGCGTAGTTCCCCCGGAAATGGATTTTCTGCCATCTTGACGTAGCAGAAGCGATCCTTCCATCCTTTGTGGGACGAAGGAACATCATCGAAAAGCCTGAAGGGGGCGAGTTGCTGCAGGTTGGCGAATCCCTCGGAATTGGTATGCCCCCCCCGGCACAGGTTGAAACTTTGAAAGAAAAGATCGAGGGTCGCAGTTACCCCTCGGGATCGGCACAGCTGCAGGAAGCCAGTTATATAGGAATGGCTGTTTGGGGTTAGCTGGCAGGGGGCTAAACCCACATACCTCAGATACTCGAGGAGAAAGGGATGTAGCGGGAACCGGAGGCCCATGGCAACCGACAGCACATGGACCGCAAAACAACCCTCCGGAGCCCGCAACAAGAGATCATCGGGTCCCGGTTCAATTACAGTCGCCGAAGGGCCTACATGCAACTGCGTGACATAGCATTCTGCCCGATCAGCCTTCGATCTCAGCGCGAGGGCGGCAGTATTCAGCCATGAATGCCCCTCGGGAATTCCAACAGGCTTCCCGCAGTCAACGGCGGTTTGCTTGCCTTTCGGTGGTGCCTTCGTCTTCTTCCTTTTCTTCCCCACGGCGACACTGAGGGGTTCCGGATCTAGGGGCCGGGAGGTGCTTGCTTCACCGGCACCACGAAGTGGGAGGACAGCAACTGTGACTTCTTGCCTCTCCTTCTCCTCCTCTTCCTCCGCTACCTGCAGCGCGAGGGCCATTTCTTCGTCCTCGATCACCTGCTCGAACTCCTCCGCCTCCAGCTCGGTGCGAAGGTTATCTTGGACCTCTTCGGCGACAGCTGAGTCATTATTCGCCGAGGACTGCTCGCTAGAGGACTCCGCATCCGATAAATTTTCTTGCTGTGCCGACGGCTCCCTCGAGATATCTTGTGAGTCGCTTTGCGAAGACATCTCACCCGGCAAGTTTTGAAAGGATTAAGGGAGAATACTACTCAAGCACTCTAGCCGAAGGCTCCTAGAAGCTCTAAACACTAGATCTAAAGGAATGGAAGCAAGAAATACGTTAAGGAACAAGAACAAAGGATGAACTGACCTTGGATCGAGGAAAATTCTGGGGTTTGATCGAAAAGGGGACTTTCTCTCTCTAGAAAATTTGACAGAGCTTCGCCTCAAATTCTAAAACGCGCAAGGGAATGAGTTTGGCTTGGGGTATATATAGACTTTCGGCCTCGAGAACTGGGCCTCGATTTAAAAAGGCCATCATTACGGGCCGCCGGTTCAGCCAATGGATGGCTACCGCCCGCCTTCAACCAACGAGGACACGCCACGTCAACTACTCTTCCAACGGCTATATTGCAACGGCTCTATTTCGCAAGCACTGGAGTGCCCTCGAATTATAGCCTCCGGTTATCATTCACTACAGCCTTCAGCCAATGAATTCCAACATAGCGCCTTCGAGATGGCAGCCATAGGCACCTGGCTCATCAACGTTGTCACCCCTCGGGTTCGCATCAACTCATCATAACTCCTTCAGCCCGAACTTGCCTTCGGCCTAAAGGAGTGGGGGACTAGGATACACCCCTCGGGGATCACACACAACAAAAAATTCTTCATGCAACAATTGACGCATACGGCCTCCGGGCAAACATCACAATACATGCAGACAAGACATCTATGCTTTCCTCAGAAAACCCTCGACGTGTGAGGGACTGAGGGGGAGCCCCCGGCGAACATACGAAGGTTACGAGTACCTTCCCTCAGAAAACCCTCGACATGTGAGGGACTGAGGGAAGCCTTCGGCAATCAACAGAAGACAAGTTCTCAAACAAAGGCACCCAGACAGGCGATGAAGCCCCCGGAAGAATCATCACATCTACTCCTTTTCCCTCAAGTACCTTTCGGCAAAAGGAGTGAGGGACTCCTGATGGAGTATATGGCCCAGGAACCCCCGGCCCAAAGACTCCCACTAATCTATCACAAGCCCAACAAGCTCAAGGAGCTCGGGAGGCCCAAGATTCGGCGGCCCAAGCGTCAAGAAGGCCACGGTACACACAGGGATGCCTTCGGCCACCTTGGCCGAAGGCTCCAGAACTCACAGAACCGCCATATTCGACCGTGCGAAGCTACTGGGAGAAATTGACAGAAAATAGGAGCCCTCGGCACTATGGAGCCCTCGGCACTATGAATCCCTCGGCTCAACCAAGCCTTCGGCTGCACAAGGAGCCCTCGGCTACGCAAGAAGCCTACGGCTGAACTAGCTCAATCATCGAAGATTCCTTTTAGAGACAGCCAACCACCGCATTTAATGCCACGTCGCATCCGCCAACCGCATTCAATGCGGTTGACGTACCACTGCCGGTGCCACTAGGCTGATGTGACCCTTCGGCCGTTGGATTACTGACACGTGTCCTCTCATCGCATTTATTGCTGCTATAAATAGCAGCCCATTTCTCCTTGTAATGGACACAATCTACATCTCAACTCCACGCTGAGTTCATTTAATAAAATCGACTCTCTCTCCTCCTATTTGCTCTGACTTCTCTCTAGTTATTTCCGCAATAACCCCTCGGATTAGATACCCCCCGGGTAGACTATCCATCACATCCTTTAATACAACTTTATTTATTTTTTTATTTATTTATTTTACTCCAGGGGTTGTCTGGGGGAGGGGGGTTGGGGGGCCTGGAGTAAGCTGGGTATAAACTCACTTCATTGAGTTTCGAACCCGAGACTTTCCATAAGGGAGAGTGAGTCGGCAACCAGCTGAGCTGGTCCGCTTCCTCATATCCTATTTTTATCATACTATAGATAAAAAGATTTGAAGGGTTTGTCGGTTTGAATCTAATTTATTGTGAATTGACACATTTTTTATGTATGGATTTTTATTCAACATAAAAGTTTTCAATTTTGTAAGTTCATCCCACATTTTAGAATCCTTGTCATATCTTTGATCTTTAACTTTGGACAAACAATATTCTCACTAAGTAAGAAAATCATCAATGTCACTTTTCAAAGAAAGTGTATTAACCATATCAACAACATATATGTCTAACTAGTGTTCCATCACAACTTCCTAGTTGTTTATATTTGCTCCATCACAACTTCCTAGTTGTTTATATTTCTTACTACAATTGTCATATGTCTTCGACGGAGTCCAATATATCTAATAGTTTTTTTTAAATAATGACAATATGATTGAAATAAAGATAGTGGACAAAAATATGGCTCATTGACTACCATAATAATTTTAGTGACCACAATTGTGTTCAAGTCTATCAGTAGGGGTGGAAATAAGCCAGGCGTCCTATCAGGGGCATGTGGCTTGGCTTGTTTATTAATCAAGCTAGGCTCGGGCTTTTTGAAAAGCCCGTTTATTTAAATAGGTCGGGCTTAGCCCAACTCTGAAGCCTTTTTAGCTTAACAAGCCGGCCTATTTACATGTGCATATATATATATATATGTTTGTATATATATATAGTTATGTTTAAATTTATTTTTATTATTTATAATTATATATTAGTGTACTTAATTATAGCAAATTAGACATAATAGTATTTTTATGGAGTATGTACTATGAATTAGAATACTAGCTATTTCAAATATATAAAGTGTGTTAATGGTTATTAGGGTAATTGAAAGTCAAAGTTTTTCAAGATTTGAAGTACATAAAAATTTATAAGCTACATAATTGATGTATAAAGAAATTGACGTATTATTAGACATTCAAAGTAAAACTATCGTATAATTAGACTTTTTAGCAGTGTTCTAAAAGGCGTGAGGCGTGAAGAGGCGGCATAGCCGAGCCTTAAGCCTTCGAAGCCTAGGCGAGTTTAAGCGAGGCCTAGGCGCCAAAAGGCGTTTCAATTTTTACTAATTATTTTTTAATTTTTATAGAAATGTTAGTAAGTATATAATAAAATAAGTACATATTTATGACTAAAATAAAAATAGGTTACAAAAATGTGACATTTTATTATAGTATTAATATTAGTCATACTAACGCATGTTCAATTTTTAAACCTAAGTGATCATGACAGTATGACATTATATTATATGGAGTATTGATTTTTAGTTATATTTTTGTAAATGAATTTTATCTAAGTAATAACTTTGAAAAAATCTCATACATAAATGAAATATCAGAAAATATTTTGTAAAACATCATACTATATCATTTTTATACACGTAGTATAAAAGCATATAACAATACTTCAATAATAGTAGTAGTAAATATTATAGTGCTTGCTCCGTATATATATACTAGTATAATAATACTACGTAGTATAATAGTAAAAAGTATTGATCATTTAGATTGAATATATACTTCGTATATACGGAGTATATAATAGAATAAGAATTGAAATGTATTTAATGAACACTACAAAAAAACATCGAAATAGGCACGGACTTGGCATGGATTGGGTGAGTTTGACACGGACCGTAACTTATTTTTGGCACAACGCCGTGCCAAATAGCTGGTGACAAAACGACTTTGGCACGGAATTTGGCACGGATTTAACGCATCCGTGCCAAATCCGTGCCAAATACCCTACGAATTTTGGCATATCCGTGCCAAAGCTCTGTGCCAAATCCGTGCCGAAATTGTTGTTTTTTTTGTAGTGGAAATGCCAAACATTCAAGGTGCAGCCGAGTTTTTTTTTTTTTGAAAGTGGTGCAGCCGAGTTGTTAAGAGATAAGAATATCACCCTTAATAGTTTAATATCTTTGTCCTTCGTCCCACACCGGAACTAGAGGAAACATCCCTCCTTTCAACATGCTATATATACTAGACACCTGCTCGGCGTTAGAAGCAGACGAACAAGTGTCATCTCACGTGTAGTGCACGTGACCTATCAGTACACAGCCCTGCTATTTGTTGGGCTTGAGCTTATTTTTTATGGGCCATGCCGCCTTTTGTCACGCATATATGATATGCGAGTCGTTTTGTTCTCGCCTTGGGCCTAGGCCCGCCTATGCGGCGCCTTTTAAGGCCTTTTAGAACAATGCTTTTTAGTGGATATTTGGGTGACAAATTTTATATTTGGTTAAAAGGGTTTTTCGGTTTTTATTTTTTATTTTTATGATCTTTTGATATTTTTTCGTAACAGGCACACTAAACAGGCTCCAGGCCAGGCTTTTAAGCAGGTTAGGCTTAGGCGCAGGCCGAAAAAGAAGGACTTTTAATAGGTAACAGGTCAGACTCAGGTCTATTAATTCTAAAACAAGTCCGGCCTGTTTAGGCAAAAGTCTGGCCTGACCTGTTTCCACCCCTATCTATCAGTATAGTGACTATGCATAGTAGTATAATAATATTTTTGTCCATTAGTTATATTTATGTAATATTTATGAAAACCCTCTTTTTGTCTGGATAGCGGGGTCACAATTTTCATTCCAAGTACAAATACTAAATTTCGGGGTGGAAAGCAGGAGCACTTGCCCCTTGCCCCTTAGTTCCTCCGCTGCTGTCATTGGTTAAGGCTCTGTTTGCAACCATTTGTGCTTAAATAAAAGCACTTTTTAATAAAAAGTGATTAGTAGTAAAAGTTGGTAATGTTTGGTAAAATAAGTGTTTTTGTGTTATAGAAAAAGTAAAAAGTAGATTCTACACAGAAGCCGAGAAAGTAAAAATGGGTAGTGTTTGGTAAAATAAGTGTTCTTTTCTTAAAAAAGCCAAAATCACTTTTGTTAAGTGGTTGCAAACAGGCCCCAAACAGGCAGATCTATTCATTAAGGAGTGGGGGCACATGCTCAATAAACATTCATTATTTCATTAGCAAGCTAATATTATATTAATTTTATTAATTTTATTTTTGAAAGAGAGAAGTTGCCCCCAATAATTTTTTGGTGTTGCCCCCAATAACCATTTGTGACTTGTGAGATGATAAACATTCCGAAGAATTTTTTATAAATAACTTAGTTAGGCGTTTCATATTACCTAAAACAAATTATATTAAAAAGAATGAAAATGATCTAACTCGGTAGAGTCAAATGTGGTAATTTAACAAATGAGAGTGATAACAACATTATTCTCTCATACATTTCTAATAAAATATAACCATCGGTTACACACTTGTGTGTATTGGTTTGTGTGAATATTATGCATTGCTTTAAACTAGTGTATTATTTGTCAAAATGAACTTATGGATTTCTATATATATTACTCATATAGATACAAGTCTTAGGTGTGGTTTTGTTTGAGCTGGTCTGGTTTGATTTGATAAATCTTTTGCCTTTGTGGATTTTATAAATGTCGAAGCCTGATCTAGTCTTTTTAATTCGGATATGATATGTTCTGGTTTGGGACTGAAATAAGTCCAAGCAAAAACATTCTTAATAAAGAATGATGGAGTATTAAATTGGTTTCTAATTATATAATGATAAAAATGCATCGACAAAGTTCAATTAGATCATCTAGAAAAGTACAAAAATGGTGGAGTAATGTATACTCCGTATAACTTAGCTGATGATTAACAGAATAAAAGAAGTATTTCTCCGTCTCGTTAAGATTGTGTCTCATACCAAATATAGTAAAGTTTGTGCAGTTCTAAATCATTCTTACTTTATCAATCATTCTTCATGTTTGAATGTTAGTAGGACAGAGGTAGTA